GGGAGCCCCCGGAGCTGGAGTCCCGGGACCCGCTGCCAAAAGGGAGGAGCAGGAGGTGCAAGGCACCCCTTCGGCTTCACGCGCTCCAGCCCAGGCGAACCGGCCTCGCCACTGCCGCCGTCTCTGCCTCGGGGCCGCGGTGGGGGCTGCCGAAGTTGCCACACTTCATCTTGGTCGGGACCAAGAACCGCGGAGCCGTCGCGGGGGGATTTTTTTCCCGGGGAAACCCTGACCCAGGCGGCGCCACCGAGCGCGCCCAGCCCCTCCCCGGAAAACAATTACTCGGGATTTGCTCGGGCAACTGGGTTGGGAGGGGCGAGCAAGGACCTGAGGGGAATAATGGCTGAGTCCCGGCTCATCACCTGTACTTGTTTCGTGTCTCCGGGGGGGGGGTCCCTCTTAATTGGGTACACGCATTGGGGGTTCAGGGAGAGGGCACTGAGGCGGGGGGGTCCAGAAAAAAGATCCCGAGCCTGAGCGAGCCACGGTGGGGGATTGGGGAGTCTATCTGCAGACCTTCCGATTCTACAGGGCAAATGCTGCCACTTAGGGGAAATTCCTAAACCTTTTTTTTTCTTGAGTGACTTTCTAGATGGTTTTTTTTTCCCAAAAGCCCTTTTCTCCTTTCATAGTCACGCTTTAGCCTCTCCCGCAGTTCCTCTGGGTCCCTCCCCAACACCATTCCCGGGAAAGAAAAATCTGGGCTTTGTTTTAGAAGTGTGGGCACGAAGACAAGTCCTCCTTCTGCTATGTGACCCCCTTCTGGAACCGCCTTCCCTAGAAACATCTCCCAGGTTTGTCGCATTTCCCATCCAGGAATATTATTTATAACTAGCATGCAGAGTCGTGAAAACAGAAGTGACAGAACCTCTGATTTATACTGAGTGAGCCCCACATGATTTAAGGCTTCCCAAGTTGCTCACTCTGGTCCCCTCTGAGTCCACCCCACCCTTCTGATACTGGCAATGGTGAACCCAGAGAAGGGAAAGGAAACTTCTCTGCACACAGCCCTTCCTCATTTCCCAGGAAATAATACCAAAATTCCAGAATCCTCTTCACTAATACGGATCTGCCTTTCTCACCCTTGTATCCGCTCACTTCACATATTCCTAACCCCTGCATAAGTATGACCCCAAGAGATCCCACTGAAGGTCGCCCAACCAGCAGCATAATTTATTAAGAGAGGAGCTTTTATCTCCATGTTCTTCAGATCCGTGCCCTATTTTTCTGGATATTTCTGTACGCAAGCCACTGTCCCACTTGGCCCTTTATACTGTGGTCCCTTAGCAGGTGAAAAAGAAAGTGAACAAGCAGATAAATTCCAACTCCTAACAGCTGAGGTAGATGACGGGAGGCCAACAAATCTATTGTCACTCCAGAAGCTGAGCTGAAAGATTAAGAGAAAAACTGATGTCTAAGGCTTAACTGATTCTCCATCCCTTCTGGGATTCAACTGGAGCCCAGAGGGGATCTGCCTGCCTTGACTCTGGGTTTTCATTACAGAGGCAGGACTTTTTGCATCCACCTGGAGCATGTTACATTTAAAACTAACATTAAAATCCCACTTCTTGCGGAAAATAAGGATTCCCCAAGTTTAGCTGAGCCTTGTAAATGAGGAATCCCCGACATCGTGTTGTGTTGTGACAGCCATGCCCCGTCTCTCCTCTGCAGATTCTCAATACACCGCAGCAGGATCAGCCCTTGGTAATCTGAACTGTTGTTTCAAAAGCCCTTTTATCGATCTCAGAAATCCTAGAAGTCACGGTGACCCCAACAAAGGGAAAAGGTGGTCTGAGTCAGACCTTTAGAACTCTCTTAAAGCCTCTGTGTAATTAGTTGGTCCTGTGGGATGGAGCTTTTAAAGTGTTCCATTAAAAAATAAAGCAAGGCACTGTTCTGTCAAAGCTTTGCAGCATCACGTCCATTAGCAGTAACAAGTGTTAATCTCAACAAGACCATAAATCTTCCTAGATAACTGTGGACTTCAATATTCTGTAAGTGCATTTCTTGAGCGGGAGTTTGGAGTATAGACCTGTTAGGCTAAGGGAACCTTTAGAGAATAGGTCTGGCAAATTTCTATAATGGCAATGATGGGACCACGTGGCTGTGATGTTGAGATACTACAGTAGGACCTGTGTTCAGTGAAAGCAGTGATGAGACTTGGTTTACCCAATACCATATCCCATGTCCACCCTGCCCTTCTGCATGGCCTCCCTCCATGGTCTCTCCACGAACCAGGAGCTTCCTTTGATCATCCCTCTGCCTCTTCTTCCTGACACCTGACTATTGGAGAGCCTCAGGGCTCAGTCCCTAGCCTCTTTTCTTCCAGCCACACTTACTCCTATGTGTTCTCATCCAGCCTCAGGGTTTTAACTACTATCTATACATGAATGATTCTCAAATGTGTATCTCCAGTCCCTCCTGTCTTTCCTTTGAACCCTAGGCTTACAGACCCAACTACCTATTAGGTGTCTTAAAAGTAATATGGCCACATCATCAAAATTAAAAACATTAGTGCCTCAAAGGCCATCATGGGAAATGAATAGACAACCCACAGTACAGGAAACGAATTTGCAAGTCATATAAGTGATTGAAACTTGTATTCATTATATTATTAAATTATTACAACTCAGTAGTAAAAGACAAACAACCCGATTTTAAAATGGGCAAAGGATCTGAATAGACATTTCTCCAAAGAAGATATTCAAGCAGCCAATAAATACATGAAAAGATGCTCAGCACCATTAGCCATCTGGGAAACACAGATCAAAACCACAATGAAATATCACATCACAGCCACTGGGATGGCAAAAATCAAAAAGACAGATAATAAATGTTGACAAGGAAGTGGAGGAGTTAGAACTTCCATATACTGCTGGTGGGAATGTAAAATGGTTCTTCAAACAGTTAAACATAAAGTTACCATACGACCCAGCAATTCTCCTCCTAGGTACTGACACGAGAACTGAAAACATATGTCTACACGCTAAGTTGTACACAGATGTTCATAGCAGCATTATTCATAATAGCCCCAAAATAGAAACAGCCCAGATGCCCATCAGCTGATGAATGGATAAGTCGAATGTGGTATATTTCTATAATGGAATATTATTCAGCAATAAAGAGACCTGAAGGACTGATACAGGCTACAACATGGATGAACCTTGAAAACTTTATGCTAAGTGAGAGAAACCAGACACAAAGAACCGCATGTCATATGATTCCATTTATAAGAAATTCCAGAATAGGCAAATCTATAGAGACAGAAAGTAGATCGTGGTTGCCTAAGGCTGGGGGAAGGGGAAGAAAGGTTTAGCAGGGTTTCTTTGGGATTAATGAAAATGTCCTAAAATTGATTGTAGTGATAGATGCAAAATCTCACAGATATTCACAAGAGACTAAAAGCCATTGAATTGTACACTTTAAATTGGTGAATTGTATTATGTGTGAATTACATCTCAATAAAACTGTTTCTTAAAAATCCTCTTTAATGCTCATTTAAAAAATCTGCCGCCTTTTAAAGGGGTAGCACCAGCCTTCATCAGGTGTTCCAACCAAGTAGCCTGGGGTCATCTATGACTTGCTTTATCCAGGCCCCCCACGTCCAAGCCATCAAGCCCTCTCAGTAGACCTTAAAGAAAAATCTCAAATCAACCATTTCTCACTACCCTTCACTACTCCCACCTTCCTCCAGTCCCTCATTGTTCCTGCCGCAGGCTACTGCCCTAGACTCCCAATTGTTCCCTCTGCCTCCACTCTTGCCCCTTACAATTCAGTCATCCCTCAGCAGGTGTAATCTGCTTTTTAAAAGTATCAGATCACATTCCCTTGCTCAAAACACACCCCCCTGCACTTTTCTATCGTATTTTGAAGAAATCCAGACATCTTACAAGGCCTCTGCCCACCTTCCCAGCTCTGTCCCTCTCCCCACCACCCCCCTGGCTCACTCCAGACTCTTGCTTTTCCTCAAACATTCCGAGTTCACACCCTCCTCATGGTCTTTGCACTGGGTCCTCCCTCTGCCTGGAACAGTCTTCCCCTAAATCTTTCCGTGGTTCACGACTTACATTGCTGCTTAAGTGTCAGCTCCTCGGGGAGACCTAGCCTAAAGAAGCTTCTCACTTCAGCCCCATCACTGTCTCCTAACCCTGCTTGATTTTTTTATAGGGCTTATTACTGTCTGAAATATTGATTTATGTATTGACATTTATGCTCTCTCCCCCCCCCCCATAGAATGCAAACCCCACAAGAGTAGAATTTTTGTCTTTCTTCTTCACTACTGTCTCTCTCCACCTAGAACAGTGCCTGGCACATTTTAGGAGCTCAATACATGTTTGTTGAATGAATCAATGAGTGTTCTCCCAGGAAGCAGCATGAAGAATGGACACTTCTCATTGA